GTGATTCCACAAAAGGAGTACAGTGACTGTTTTTTAAAACTTTTCAATCGATTCCAGCTATGCACTGATTCAGAAGGAGACTATTTTGAATAAAAAGAGTGAAATTTTGAAAATAACTCACGTCTTATATTTTTAATGAACACAATCCTAACAGAACCTGGACACAATGTGTACTAGCCAAGAATGAAGATGATTTTTTTAAAATAATCATTCATTCATCAATGGCTTACAGCCCCTTGTTATGACCTGGTTGCTGCCGTAGACCATGTGGCCACTGTAATTGGTGTTTCAAGCATCCTGACACCAGTAACGGCATTGTCCCAATAACTGTTGAAAATTTCCTGCTACTGTGATGAAGTGTTCTGACAGTTTTAATCGGGGGTGGGTGGAAGAACTTCTTGTCTCCTGGGGCAGCAGTAAGGCTTTCAGCAACCCTGCCCAGAGGAAGCACATTCTTTCTAAACACAGGTACCTATCTACAAAAATATATGACATTACATCCCAGGAAACAGTAATCATACATATAGACATGAGAACATACTGAGGTTGAAAAGTGAACAAAACAAAAACTGACTTCAAGCCTGATAATAAAATAAACTCATCATTTATCTCCCAGTGGTGTCGGCAGGAGTGACAGTAACAGTGGTAATAATTTACCCTCTACTAATCCAATTCATATCTACTACCCTTGTATGCACATACTCTTCAGAACAATCAAAACACCTGCAAAAATCGATGAAGAAACGCAAACACTGGATGGAATTTTGTTATTGACCTCAAATGATGTACAGCAATACCTCGCATTGTCCGGCTTGAAAATTTCAAAACAAACTAAATTTTAATTGAGCAAAATAAAAGTAAATTCTAAAAAATTAGTACACAAAATTATTTTTAATACATAAATGATCGTTTTTTTTTTCATACAGTCAAGTCTCTTTTTGTGTGGTTTTAAAGTTATGCAATGCGATAGAATACATATTTCAATTTTTTCTGGGGTTCCCCGTTGTATATGTATGTACCTATGCTCGGGTCGTTCGTTCTTGAGCTCTGACAGCTATCGCTGGAGGAGGTGGGGAGAGCACTACTTTGACAGAATTTTGAAGAGTTACAATATCAGAAACGTTATTGAAAATATAGGCGAAGCATGGCATGAATTAATGGCAAGCAATATGAGGGCAGTTTCCACATTGTGGAAATGATTTAATTGGTTGTCAAACTCATTTTGCTGAAGTCGCTAATAATATAGTGGAAACTGGACAGCAACTTGGTTTCAATGAGTTAGATTCCATCAATGTAATTGAGTGCATCAAATCTAACATTAATGAACTAGATAATGAAACACTTATTAACACATTGCAGACCGGACGGGCCATATGGCCCTCTACGTTTCCGAGCGTTGCGGACCGGGCGGGCCATATGGCCCTCTACAGTCACGTTATGTTGCAAAACGCTATATATCGCTGTGTGGCTTTGTTGAATCGTAACTACTTCGTAGATGACCTCGGGAATGATTGCTGCCTTATCTAGTAACTCGACCAGAGCCATTTCCTGTCACAACCTAAACAAAATTGGCTTTGTTCTAATCCAAGCTTGCACGTATGAACCACGCAGCTACCAGTTCAACATAGCTCAGAGACAAAAGCAGTTGCGATCTCTCGGAGGACAGGAAATATTAGATATGTTCCCCGATGAGCTATCAGATTTGCCAACTGCTTCGTCTTCTGATAGCGAGGCCATTATCAGTGACAGTGACAGTGACGGGGGCCACAGGGCTGCCCAAAATGTGTCAAGTGAAAGTGAGAGCTCCGTTGAAAGTGCGA